TCAGTCAGTCACACAGACAGACAAACCAGTTGGAGATGAGCCAGTGACTATTCTGACTTTGTCAAGTTTTTCTGTGTTTTGCCCAAAGTTCAAATTTGGTACTTTGCGAGTGAATCTGGGGTAGATCTTAGGAGAACAACCTTTCAGATTGAATTGATTTATGTAGTAGATACATCATTTGTAACCTCTGGCCATTACTATTAATACTAAAGAAGTGTATATTGCTATATACCCATCTGAATTTGCAATTAATTATTTTTAGAAATTCTATGGTGTTATAGAGGGATATTCATAATATATGATTTCTAATGATTTCTTGCATTTGCAGTCATTTCTGTGTATGTGATATAGCTGAAAATGTCTTTTATTTTGATGTAGACTACGCTTGACTGTTCTTTTCCTGGAATATTAGAAATTCAATGTAAAAGTTCTCATTTTGGATTTTTATTCATTTTATACTGGTTATATAAAGTGTAGATTATTTCACCTTTGGAGCTTAAGTTGAGACAGACATTTTGAATTATTATATTATGATTTTATTATTATTATGTTGTTATTATTATTAGCATTATTATTATTATTATTATTATTATTATTATTGTTATTAATTATTATTTTATATTTTATTATTATTATTAATTATTAATTATATTATTTTATTATTTTATTATTATTATTATTATTATTATATATTATTGTTATTATTAATTATTATTATTATTATTATTATTATTATTATTATTGTTATTATTATTGTTGATGTTTTTTTGTTTTTTTGTCATATATATGAGATTATGATGATGATGATGATGATGATTGATTGATGATGATTATGATGATGATGATGATGATGATGATGATGATATGATTATTATTATTATTATTATTTATTATATTATTATATTATTATCATTATTATCTTAATATATTATCATTATTACTATTATTATATTTTATTATTATAATTATAATAATAATGATAATACTAATGATAATTATTATTGTTATTATTGTTAATTTTATTATTTAATTATTGTTATTTTTATTATAACTATTATTTTTATTATTATATTATATTATTAATATTATTATTATTATTATTATTATTATTATTATTATTATTATTATTATTATTATTATTATTATTATTATTATTATTATTATTATTATTACTTTATTATTATTATTAAGGAATAATATTGTGTTTACCATACATATAGAGATGAACATCTAAATTTGAAAACAGTATGGTATTTCATAGTACTTAATTGTGCACAAGCATATTAGTAGATGAATTTTTGTTGTGTTTTATAGCAGTACAAGTATGATAACTAACCACAAATTTTATCCCGGCAGGTAAAATGGTGACTGTCAGCTTGAGATGGATGCAGATGGCTTTACCGTAGTTAGCAAAAAGAAGGCTGCCAAAAGAAGATCGGCAAAACCACCAGCAGATTATGTTAACACGTGTGAAGAGAATGTGGAGGACTGTTTAAGGTTTCGTCGATGCTGGTGTTTTGATAATCCTTGCTATCCTGCTGTCTCGTCACTTTTTCACTTTCTTCTCTTTTTCATTATGACTGTTTGTCTGTGGCCAGTTATATTTATGTTTTTGTCTGCCTTACTAAATGTCTCTGTGTCTTTATGTCTCATTGTTTGTCTGTCTGTCTCCTGTTTGTTTCAGTCAGTCAGTCAGTCCAGTGTCTGTCTCTCTCTTCTCTCTCTGTCTCTCTCTCTGTCTCTCTCTCTCTGTCTCTCTCTCTGTCTCTCTCTGTCTCTCTCTCTCTGTCTCTCTCTCTCTGTCTCTCTCTCTCTCTGTCTCTCTCTCTCTCTTCTCTCTCTCTCTCTGTCTCTCTCTCTCTGTCTCTCTCTCTCTGTCTCTCTCTCTCTCTCTCCTCTCTCGTCTCTCTCTCTCTCTCTCTCTCTCTTCTCTCTCTCTCTGTCTCTCTCTCTCTCTCTCTCTCTCTCTCTCTCTCTCTCTCTCTCTCTCTCTCTCTCTCTCTTCTCTCTCTGTCTCTCTCTCTCTCTCTCTCTCCTCTCTCTCTCTCTCTCTCTGTCTCTCTCTCTCTGTCTCTCTCTCTCTCTCTCTCTCTCTGTCTCTGTCTCTCTCTCTCTGTCTCTCTCTCTCTCTCTCTCTCTCTCTCTTCTCTCTCTCTCTCTGTCTCTCTCTCTGTCTCTCTCTCTCTCTTCTCTCTCTGTCTCTCTCTCTCTCTCTCTCTCTCTCTCTCTCTCTCTCTCTCTCTCTCTCTCTCTCTCTCTCTCTCTCTCTCTCTCTCTCTCTCTCTCTCTCTCTCTCTCTCTCTCTCTCTTTATCAATAGGTGGTACTTGATATTTATAGATGGATGAATACAAAACTTGTATTCAGTAATTTTTATTAATATCGATTTGACTTTTAAAAATGATATAATGGCCCTTAACCCTTTGTCAGGCACACATTCTAAATACCTCGTATATATTTATGTGTATTTAAGTGATCATATATGGTCACTTGCCTGCCAA